ATATATATATATATCCTGCATTACCTGAAGGACCCTAAACTACGAAAATAACGGTATATTTCTTATTATGGCTAATGCAGAGTTTATATCATCAACCGTGTTGATGACCTTCCGGTCCTGGGCCCTGGTGCCTCAAACTCCAAACCTGGAGCCCAAAACCCTGCAGCCCCAAGGAAGCTTTACAGGGCTTAGGGTGTAGGGTATAGGGTTTAGGACTTAGGCTTTATATAAGGCTTAGGGTTACAATGTTCTGGGTTTTAGGGTTTAGGGGTTTAGGGGTTCAGTGCTTTAGGGATTTAGAGCTTTAGGGCTTTCGGGGTTTAGGGTTGTAGGGGCTTAGGGGGGGTTTAGGGTTGTAGGGGCTTAGGGGTTTTAGGGTTTAGGGGTTTAGGAGTCTCGGGGTTTTAGGGTCTAGGGGTTTAAGGGTTTAGGGTTTTAGGGTTCAGGGTTTAAGGGTTTAGGGCTTAGGGTCTTAGGGCTTTGGGGTTTAGGGTTTAGGGCTTAGGTATTAGGGCTTAGGGTTCAGGGTTTAGATTCCTTTAACTCTGACCTAAATCTGAAGCACTGTTGTCCGATGTTTAGGGTTTAGGCTTTAATCCTGAGGTCACAGAGTCACTGTGTGAGAACGTGCTACCTTGTAGCCTTTGGGGCTACAGAGTTGCGGGTTTAGGGAACCCGGGTGCTTCAATGAGGTCGGTCCGATTGCCAGCCTGCAGCCACAAATTTAGCGTTTAGGGTTTCGGGGTTCAGGGTTTAGGGTCTAGGTCTGGAGTTTAAGATTGATCTAGAGTTGAGGGGTTTCGGATCTAAGCGCAACCTAACACCAAATGTGAGTTTTAGAAATAAGGTTTAGGGTTTAGGGTTTAGGGTTTAGGGTTTAGGGACATTTCATATTCTGAATTTCCCAAATCCACCGGATCTGAAATCCTAGGAACAACTCGGAAGCCTTGACCTCGAGGGGTTTAGGGTTTAGGGTTTAGGGTTTAGTATCCCATGTCATGTGGGGCCTTGGAGTTAGACAATGGTTCTGGTATTAGGGGGGGTAGGGTTTAGGGTTTACAAGGCGATTTTGTTACTTCGCCCGACCTCTATATCAGAACAAGGGTTTAGGGTTTATTGTGTACTTTCCTTGCTGGTTTCTCCCATGATCTCTAGACCTCTTGAAGCCTTTCTGCTCAGTTGAAACTTCGTTGTACAATTCTGCAAATGCCCGCTTGAATCTTTCCGAAGCCCTATAACGGTTTAGGGTTTAGGGTTTAGGGTTTAGGGTTTAGGGCTCGGCCTGTGCAGGTAGTCGTCAAAGCCACATCTTTGGGACTGCGGGGCTATTTCTGTGGGCGTGTGCTTTGCCCAGCATTGGAGGAGGTGTATCTCAACACAAGCAGCTTTGTTTTGGGAGAAGATCCGGTTGGCAACTGTTAGCTGCAGTCTGCTCAATACTTCTAAGTGCTTCCCAAGATAATAAGGCAGGATAAGTTGATGGGTGTAGCGGGGGCTTGAAAAGGTTCGAGTCCAGTTAGATTTTTTCTACGACATAGTTATTGGGACCAGGTTGGCCCCTTCTGTCCCAAACGGGGAATTACCGTAAGGGTTCAAGACTGAACCAGTTTAAAGAAACATGACAGACCAGCAGGCAGAGCACAATGGCATCTGTGTCGGCCCAGTTTTGATATATACTCACATACTATACGGGGTACATGGACCAGTTAAGCAGCAGTTAAGCCCTAAACCCTAAGCCCTTATGGTACCGTTGAAGGAACCCATAACAGTACCCGTATAGAACCCTAAACCCTAAACCCCTAAACCCTAAACCCTAAACCCTAAACCCGAAACCCATGGATGTTAGGGGCCGGTCAAACGGTAGTACGCTGGCTCTTGCCGGGACCTTCCAGGGAGTTAAACCTTTTTTTGATCATTAAAACAGACTTCGGGCCGGAGGGGTTTAGGGTTTACGGTTGAGGGTTTAGGGGTTCTGGGGTTTAGGGTTTAGGGTTCACTAAGATGTTCGAAATCCGTGGTGAAGGCTTTAATTTAGAAAGCTACGGTACGGGTTTAGGATTTAGGGTTTGCCTTCTGACATTTCTTTGACAACAGCTCAAGCTGTTTAGGCTTCAGGGTTCAGGGCGGGCTACTGGACAACGTGGCCTGTTGCAAAAAGGGTTTTGTAGTATAATAGAGGGGCCTAAATAATTACCGCTACTATGTCGGGGGTTTCTTATTATAGTTGCAGTATAATGCACACCGAAAAAAGTCCCCTATATCAGGGCTTTTGATGGCAATGACATACTGTACCATGAAGACACTAAGGGGTTTAGGAGGGACCCTTAATAGGGACCCTTGTAGGTTATTAGGGTTAATATGGAGACTACCTGGCTATATGAGGGGTATATAAGGACTATACAATGGTCATTTAAGGTCATATGGGGTTAAGGGTCCTATTAGGGGTCCCTCCTAAAGCCCTTAGAAAGACTCCCGACGCTGCGAGAGGTTTGCGGCCTCGAGTTTCGGGATGAGGATGTCGGGTTTAGGGTCTAATAGGATTAGGGCTTAGGGCCATGCGGGTTTCAGAGTTTAAGGCTTGGCGTATTCTTTCAAGGAGACCCAAGGAGATCAAATTTTAGATAGTTGAGAAGAGGTCCAGGTTGCCTAGGTTGTTCATACGGGTTCGCGGTGTGCGTAGCACAAGTCGTCGGAACAAGCCTGGTAGCAGATATCTTTGAGATCGGAAATAAGCCTTCTACCTGTCACCGTTTAGGGCCTTAGGGTCGAGGATTTTTCAACTTCAGCTGAGGACTATTGGTGGAACTGGTTCGATGTGCTCCTCTCCGTGGCCGCCGTCTCCGAAGCGATCCTTAACTTGGCAATGGCGACGCAGGGGTCGCAGATGCCCGGCCGCATGTGTTCTAAACCCTAAACTTTGGCCCTAAACCGTAAGGCCCAAAACCCAAACTCGCTCTCAATGTTTTCACGCCGACTGTCGCACATGGATCCTCGCCTGGCTTGTCCGAGTTGTGAGAGTGTAAACTGGGGTCATGTTTCACGGCTAGGAAATCCGCCTTGAGTGTCGAGTGTTATGAGCTGACCTCTGAGGCCTAATGAGATTCTGGCTGTTCGGGTTATTTAGAAGAATAGAGTTTGGGGTTGAGGGTTTAGGGTGTAGGGTTACATGTTGATAAAGACGGCATTGAGGTCCGCGGTGACATGACGAGGATAGCGAACGGCGGTGAAACTATTGTACTAGTAATGACGACGGAAATAGTAGTGCTGTGATGCTGCGAGTCCCGAAGCAGATGACGGTTGCCATCCCCCGCCGATCATGATGATGACGCTGGTGTTGGTTCTGCTGCAGCTACTCCTTTGCTTCTGCTGTGAGGGCTTGGGCTGGTTTTTTCGTTTAGTACTGCTGGTGCTACCCTTTGTTACTCGTGCAATGATTTTGGCTTGTCATGAGTACTGATAGTACTAGTAGCTAGTACTACTGCTTATTATTATTATGTTCATTATTACTACTACTACTACTACTACTACTACTACTACTACTACTCCTGCTGCTGCTACTACTACTACTACTACTACTACTACTACTGCTACTACTGTTACTACTGTTACGACTGCTAGTGGTGCTGGTGCTGGTGCTGGTGCAGGTGCTGGTGCTGATGCTGGTGCTGGTGCTGGTGCTGGTGCTGGTGCTGGCGCTGGCGCTGGCGCTGGCGCTGGCGCTGGTGCTGGTGCTGGTGCTGGTGCTGGTGGTGCTGGTGCCGGTGGTGGTGGTGGTGTGCACTTGTAACAATTACTTGTCATCCCTTCAACCTGTGCTGAAGTTGTCACCTGGCGACAGTCTTCGCGATTGAAAACAACAACCAGGCCAAAAGAAGATCCCTGTACTTCACAGCCGTAACCTCCAACATCTAGGCCCTACACTCCATCTCAGAGACCGCCATCGAGCCTAGGACCAAAGCCGCTTTGATTCTTCGGGGCCTTCGCTTGGCCCGGATGGCACGCCTCGCGAAGCTCATGCGCATGCCACTGCTGCAGGCCCGTACAGTACTTGCCTGAATTCTAAGCCTACTTGCCACCACACAGAAGTAGGTAACCCAATGCAATGCAATGTAGTGATCAAAAGTAATGGTCTGATTCTCAAGGCTGCATGCCCTGTTGACACACTTCGAAAGGTTGGTTCGGTCTGGGCGTTTTTTGGATAGCGGGTGCTGGCTACACACGGAAGGTGTTAAAGGATTGTTGAGGGAAATCTGTATTCTCTCACATAACTCCCTGGGAACCCCATGCAACGCACGCGATGAGCTTATCATAGGGGGCCCCACATCGAGGCTAGCAATGCGCTGTCGAGAACACTGACGAAAACTGGGGGGCATCGGACTTGGCTATTGGAATTGTAAATTTGCAACTCGATCAGGTACTTATAACCCTACTTACTAAGTCCCCTCGACCTCAGACCCATGGAACCATTATAGTACCCTTATAGAAACCCGTCATAGACACCCATAAAACCCTTATAGAAACCGTCATAGACACCCATAAAAGGCCTTGTAGATCCCATTCTAAGGCGCGCTTTCAGCTGCTAAGTCCCATGATCCTCCATGTAGTCCTAAACCCCAAACCCTAAACCCTGATCCCTAATCCCTACCCCCTAAACTCTAATCCTTAAACCCTAAACCCTAAACCCTCCAAAGAGCTGCATGGAGGATCTTCGAGCAGGTCTGGGGTTCTAGAATAAGGTGTTATGTATACGGCTTTATAGCTTTTAAGGTTTAGGGGTCTAGGGTTTAAGCTCGCATTCATTGCAGTTTTGGTCGCAGTCGCAGTCTCTGTCATCTAAGATGGAGCCTGAAGAATTACCAAGACTATTCCTGAGGTTTCCTGACTGAAATTAGTGTAAAATGCACCTCAGACCGCATTCCAATTTCAAAGGCCCCGATATTATCGTCCTTGTAGCCGATATAATCGCTTCCCACTATTATTAA